GTTTACATCGGGAGGTATTGACATTCGTTGATTAACGTTCATTGATCACTGAACCGATCATCGATCAGCGTTAATCCACGAATGCCGGTATTCCTTATCAAAAGGTCGCGGGTTCGAACCTCGGGTAGGAAAGCACTTAGGCTTGGGTATGACTGGCTGGTGACGGTTAAGGAATCAGAAGCTGGTCATTCCCGGCAAATTCTATTTAACTGCGTCTCTGACAATCATTAATGTGAGCAGTCGGTGTCTAATCACTCATTAAAAATCTCCCCTTAACTAACTTACCTCATAGGTTCGCAGAAGGAGATCATGATGTCGACTAATCTCATTGAACTGGATTGCTTCTTCTCCGTTGGAATACTCTAGTCCCATGCTTTCGAGTAGTTTCTTCAGATGGGTCAGCTGCGGCGTACGTGCTTGCAGATCGTCAAAGAAGAACTGAAAGGAAGATAAGGAATCCTTAAGAGGGAGAAGTTCCGCTTTTTCAATCAAACTACTAAGTCATTAAAGTAGGCAAATAAAATTGAGCCTACGAAATCAAATGTCTAAAATGTGTGTTTGACTCTCAGAGATGGCCTAAGTAGGGCAGTTATATTAATTATCCTCCAAAATAATTCAGTCACGCCAGGATGCCGGTTTTTGAAAGAGCTTCTTGTCAGTCACCTGCATAAACTACACTCTGTACAAGGCAAAAATTCAAGTAGTGCGAAATTTACCATTGCATTTTCACTGCTCTTGAAAATTAAAATATATCTGACAGAAGACAGGCAAAAATATTATTTCTTGTTTTAGTTTGGCAGCGATTTACGTCTTTTTCTTCATAATATTCTACAAGTCGCTTTGCAACTGCCCGTGAAGGCTTTAGAGCGAGCTCCAAGCCATTTTTCTTAGCCAAGTCGGTTAGCACCCTAGTATCATACAAAGGCGTCCTAGGGAACAGGAGCGAAGGAGGCTGTGTAAGTATTCAGCTTGCCTGCCTTACTCGGTTCCTACATAAATCCACCAATTAAAACCGCGACAGAAACAAGGCTCAGCAAACCGACATAGACGTACCTTCATTTCCT